TCCCTTCATCTGTACACAGTTGCTGTAGCTGCTGACTCTCTCTGTAGAGTACACACATTCATCACATGTCCACACTTAATGAAAATGTGCTGCATTTCAGCCACCTTATTTCCCAATTCCAGGCGCTGACTTGCTCTGCCGTTTGTCCAGTTTTGCACCGGCACCCTATAGAAGGGTGAGGTGATGAAAAATAGATTTTTATAATTGGATTTGGTCCACATTGGCACAGGTGGGTTTGAGTGCACAGCGGTGTCCCAGTGGAGAGCCAAACTTCTAACAGACATCTTTTCAAATCCTCACCCAATCCATTAGCCGAGGCCTGAGATGAAAACCCTGAGGTATCAAAGGAAGTCGCCTCTTCTTCGCCTTTTACCTCAAAGAGCAACTCTCTTTCTATTTCAAGAGAGAGGTCAGAAGTTCATATATGAATGTGTGTGTGTGTGTGTGGAGTGTGTGTCTAGACTCCCGCTGAGCAGTGGGAAGTGGCAGCTGGGATGTTGGCCCGGAGGACGCTTCTGTCACCTTGAAGGAGCGTTTGGCACGGTGCCCCGCTTCACCCGTCACTTCCTCTAACACAGGAGGAAGCATGTTGGTGTCACACTGCTGAGGGTCACATGTGACACTTCACCCAGTTTCCCACTGAACTACTTCCCAAATAAACACTATTTAATATATTTAAAGCGCGCTGTAGTTCATGGTAAAATCAGCTAGGGGTGTTATGTACACTGTAGGCTTAAAGGGTAATTCTGGTTAATTACAAATTAGGTCATAAGTTCATTTTTTCTCCATATTCTCTACAAGTTATTATAGCGGAAATAGTCGTGTCAGACATGCAAAGAAAGCAGTTTATTAGGATTAACTTCACTCCCGAGTTCTCTTAACTTGTATGCGGCTTGAATTTAGGTTTATTTTGTCAAACGACTATTCCCAATATCAATAATGTTTATATATGTGACATATTTTCTATTTTCTGTCTTTAGATGTTCCGTACTCCATGGGGCTACTATTCCCTTGTGTTAACATTGAAACCATGTTATCATGATGCATTTGGGCATTATATAACAGCTTGTTTTGTTATGATCAGGCCTACACACATCAGTTGTCATGCATTATCTTTTAAGCATCTTTTCAAAGCAGTTTAGATAATGTGCAAAAACCTGACGCATAACCTGGAAAAAAGTTTTGACACTTCTTCTCTCGAATTTCTTTATTTCATAATAATCATAAAACATGCATTGGTTGGTCTGTTTTCTGAAAAGATTACCCTGATCTATGATGCAACATTGCCACAGCTGTTTGGCTGCTCCTGTCTGATTCAGCTTCACTGTGTATGGGACAGATGCCAGGATGACTCTACATATGCAGAGTGTGCCAGACACTGCTGATAAGTAACAGTGTTTTGACAACCATCAGCCCATAGCCCACGCCTGGTGGAAAGGCAAAAGGCGGAGTAAAGTTCACGATGGAAAGAAATGGAAAGCATTGGGATGGAGTGAGGAAGTAAGAAATGATGAGTGATTGATATAAAAATGTATTCAATGTGTTCAGGGCCGTCCCTGGCCAACATGAGGCCCCACGCAAAGTTATATGATGAGGCCCTCTGTTTCGGGGGCGTCAACGGTGGGGGGTTGTGCTAGTGGAGCCTCGCAGCGCCGAAACCGTGAAGCGCCACACTAATTGCAGCGCATAGGTGCGCCGCATTTTCGGTTCAGTTGAGGCACCCTCCTCAAGATGAGGCCCCCTCCGCAAGGTGAGGCCCCACGCAGTCTGCATGATCGGCCTGTAGGGAGGGACTGTTGAATGTGTTAAGTAGTGAGCTTTAGAGGTGTTTGTGTTGTACTTGGACCGAGGAAGGATAACTGTATTCTCTTGCTTCAAGTCTTTATGCTAAGCTAGACTTACCATTTAACATTGATATCCTTTAAATAAACTACCATGTGTTTGGTCAAGGTAATGAAGGAAACTATCACCTTGTGAGGTTTCACAAGGTGATAGTTTCCTTCATTACAACTTGGCTTATTGATGTCTTTTTAAAGAGGACATAGTATGCACATTTTTAGGTACATATTAGTATTTAGTGTCTCTACTGGGACATGTCTCCATGCTTTAATGTTCAAAAAGCTCTTTATTTTTCTCATACTGCCTCTTTTCACCCTCTGTCTGAAACCAGAGCCCTGTCTGCTCTGATTGGTTAGCTGGCCAGCAAAGTTGTGATTGGTCAACCGCTTAGAGATGTCCAGCCCCCCTTACCGCCTTACCGCCTTATCACCTTATCACGTACATTGTGTTGAAGCAGTAGCTCATAATGTTTAATAGTACCACTATGTTACCTAAGAAAACAAATGGAGGCCAATGGAGGCGAAAAGTTTTCAAAAGTACTTTAGTCTAAAAGCCTTGGTTGAGGACAGCCAGTATTACGAGGCTGCCAGTCACGTGCCACACACACACACGTCTAATGGAAAGGCTACCATTACGCTTGAATTCCTTGCCCGACCACACACACATACATACACACACTCGTGGCGGTGAGTATTGAAGGTTTTCTATGCAGGCAAATTTGATTCAGGAATATGGCTGACCCACATCCAGAGGCTCAGGATGATTAAATGCTACAGTAAAGTCCACACACACTACAGCGCTCTGCCTCAGCTTCCTCGAGTTACACACGAACACACACTAAACCCATTTAAATCATTGTACTGTTCTATGATCCCATCAGCATCCCAGTCAAATCACACACACGCGTTTCTCAAGGACAGGCGGAGCAGCCAAGTGCGATGCAAACAGTGAACAGTGCAATTTAGTGCTCCTTCCCGCTGTGAGTGACACGTGTGAAGCTGCTGCTGTTCAGGAGCTGACACTGATTGCTTTTGTTCTCCCAGGATGACAGAACAGTCTTATTATCCAACTGCATGTTTATGGGTTTTCTATTCATCAGATTGTTCAGTTGTGCTATCTACATGGCGTTGCATTACTGAATAAATCACAATGAGAGATGTCATATTAAAACAAGCTCACGATAGATAGGAAAGTGACATTTCTAATCTGTCTGAACGGAAGACAAAAGACAATCTCTGTTTATTTAAATGTATTGGTTTATAGAAGAAGGGCATTTTATGTGATAGGCTAAGGGGCGGGACATCTCTAGGCGGTGTGACCAATCACAACAGAGCCCGGCCAGCTAACCAATCAGAGCAGACTGGGCTCTGGTTTCAGACAGAGGGTGAAAAGAGGTGGAGACATGTCACAGTAGACATGTCTCCACCTCCTTTTGTGTCCCAGTAGAGACACTACATACTGATTTGAAGCAGAAATTGAAACAGAAGAAACAATAACCTGCTTCTGTAATGAGTGACTGATCAGTCCATAGTTACTACTGGTTGGTTTCTGGTCGTATATTAAAGCTGCCTTGTTTGTCTCATGTGCAATTTTACTTTAGCAGAGCTTTGAGGCATAGGCGTACATACACAATGCATGGACACACCTTAGTGTTGTATTGCAGCATATACCATACCATCATACTATGTGCAATATGTGCTATATGTGCAATATATACATATGCCATTAATAACTGTGTAATATATACCTGGCTGCTAAATCCTAAGAACTGTTACAGGACTTTTATTTTGGAAAGGATTTTTATTTAATTTTTTATATTATATTTTTTATTATATCATAACTTAGTACTTTTTTCTTAACATAGGTAACATTAAGCTGTCTGTGGCTCTTTCCTGCTGTAACGATGCAAATGTCCCCTCTGTGGGACTAATAAAGGTATTCTGATTCTGATATCAGTGGAAAGACGGGTGTCGTAGCTGTTTGAGAGCCCCCAGTGTACAGCAGTGGCTCGTTGGAGAATCCATGTGGTGTCCCTGCTTTCACCCCTCCACACTGCTGAAGGCTAGACTGCAGGAGCTTTATGCACATGAATTAAGGCCAGTCAATACCTGCAGCTCCTCCATCTCTACAGCGTCACACACGGCCGGTCAGGGTGTCCTACACTGCCCCCATGAGGGCACAACCTGCAACTCCCACGGTCCTGGTGATGACTGCGATGAGACTGAACATGGTGTTATACGATGTGTTAAATGTTACGAGTACAAGAGGGAAAAAACATCCCACTTAATTTCATTACACCACCCATTTTATGTCCATTCTTTAATCATTCAGTCCTATCATATCCGTCTGTCTCTGTCTCCACGGTGATTTGTCACCGCAGATACGTCCTCCCTGGCAACAGCTGTAGGCGAGACAGCCGAGGGTGACGCTCATACGAGGTGTGACAGCGAGTGTATTTATAGCCCACACACAGGTAGCCACACACACTTCAGAGGATGCTGCTGTGACGGGAGGAGCAACAAAGACTCCTTTGTTAAAAGCTCTTATTAGCATGGAAGGAAGCTTTCCAAAAAGTCTTTAGGGTAATGTTACATTAAATGTGTTGTGGAATGTCGCTAAAATACACAAATATTTTCAAATATCAAATACCATCCCAAGCTGCTCACTTTGACAGGTTCGTGGGGAGGGTTGCAGTTTTAGTGACACACCAAAGAGTTGCTATGATTGACTGTTCAAAGAAAGAAAATATATGAGGAAAACATGCTGTTTTTCTACTTTTTGAACAACCTAGGAATCGTTTTCTGTTTCCATCTATCCTTTCTATCAAACATGAAGGATGGGGAAAGGCAGATACTGCACATTTAACTGCGTGCCGACTTCATATTCCATGTCTAATGTCAGTGACAATATGGAAGTTGGTTCTGACTGTGACTAGCTTTGTGCTTAGGGCCCTGCAGCTATGTGAAGAAATGTTATCTAATGGTATATTATTGCCTATTGTTTTTAAAGTCAAAATAGATAGTCTTTCTGTTTTGTCACATCAAAAACAGAATTTGGCACGTCTGTGTTTAATAGGACGCCCACGATTTCAGAATGGATCAAAAACTCAAATCATTGGTTTGTCAGTTAATCAAACTGTGTCTCTGTCCTCTCCTCCCCAGCGATGGTGGTCCCTGACGGAGCATCAGAGAGGTGTGGGCTGGGGGATGATCTGGGCAGCGAGGAGGACCTGCTGTATGAAGAGTATCGAGGCTCTGGTCATCGCTTTGGACACCCGGGAGGAGGCGGGGGCGAGCAGCTGGCCATCAATGAGGTAGGCAATATGGAGAGGGCTCTACCAACAAATGATGGATTTCATCAGGGTATTTTCTAAGAAGAAGAACTGCTCTAGGTTGAATGTTAAAGGGGACCTATCGTGCAAAATGCACTTTTTGATGTCTTTTATACATATGTGTCCCCGGTGTGTCGGGGAACTCACGCAGCGTCAGAAAATAAAACCCTCTCCATACTCCATACTGTTTCAGAAATAATCCTTGATAATCCATGATATGGTGTTTCATCACGGCAGTATTTAGTTTAGACTGTAGCTGCCGGGTCCCGCATGAGCTCAGCCCCCTCCTTTTTTTTTTTTAATCAATTTTAAAGCTTTATACCCCAAATCAGCACTTTTGAAACAGGAAGTGAAATAGAGGGATATGAGGCATGGCTAGAATGGGTGATCTGTTTGGTATTTTGAGCAAAACACTTCATAGACATGTTTTTTATATATTTTTATATATCTGAGACCTATGCTATTGCCTAAAAATAGCATGATAGGTGACCTTTAAAGAAACTACATGTATAAATATTCTATGACAAGTCTTTGCGTGTATCGTTTTTTTTGTTTTAAAAAATATAATAAAGTAAATAAAATTAAAATAAGACAACCTACTATGAAAAAAGTATATCAGAGACTAAAGGTGGAAGAGGTGTTACGTTCAAGCAAGATGTCTTACTGCAGAAATGTGTGTAAGAGTGTAATAGTGGGGGTCCCGGGCATTTGAGTAACTGTTGGGAAGAAACTGTTTTTATGTAGTTAAATAGTTTATCGTACCACCACTATCATCCATTAGACTAGAGTTATTTTTAAAGCACCAGTCTTGAATGTTACTCTAAGTTAAGTCTAACTAGTGAAACAGAGCCTGGCCTCCGTGAAGGACAGGAAATGCCTTTTTTCTTTTTGCCTCTGAGACCGGTGGCAACAGCAAGCTCTGAGGTTGCTGGGTTATTCTGTTGTCATGGATACCTGCTCTGGATTCTGTCGATGCACAAGCTCAGCAAAATGTGATTTACTTGAGTTGATAAATGCCCTCTCACAGCTCCTCGGTGAAGCTTGCTAATTAAAAAAGTCTCACAGCGTGACACTCGATCAAGCAGGGGTGTAATTACCGCTGGGGACTTTTCTAAATCTTCTTTTTGTCCCCTTGCCTTTTTTTTAGGAGAGGAGGCATTACGGGATGTTTTAAACTATTATGAAAACATATGAATTTCAGGGAGTAACCAAATCATATTTAAATAAGGAATAGGACCCCTTTGCATTTACATGAAACTAACTTGTATTTGATTTGGTTGTGCAAACCCTTTTATGCTTATATATTAGCAATTACTACATGTTGACTGAGAGGAGTTGCTTGTATCGAGCAGCCCACGGATCATTTACACTAACACTGCAGTTCCCATCATCACTGCGGAACATTTTCTATGATTTCAGCTCATTAGGCAACCTCACATCGAGCAAAAGCAGTTTGCATAAAATGTATGTAAATCACCAGCTCAGTCTTGATTTGGTGATTCTAAAGCGTTTCATTTTGGTTGAATGATGGGGATATCTTAAAAGCCAATCAATATGTCCAGGCAATCAATGCGTTTCCTTTTCCTCCCTGGATGACCAGCGTTCTGCTGCCCTCCTGTGGGACTCGGCTGTCTGTTATCCAGGAACATAAGGAGTTAAAGTCAGGCGTCGACAAATAATGTTGCTGTGTGGTTTCTAGCAGACTGTCTGAGCAGCGAATTAGATAATGGAGACTCGAAGGCTCGGTGTAATGTGAGACGGCTGGGAGACTGTCTTCCAGTTTCCTGTTGAACTGGCTTCATGTGGAGATGAGTGATCCGATCATGTTGCAGATTTGTTGAGTTGAATCCACCTGCATATTGAGCTCATGTCCACGGAGAAATTAAATCGGGAAGCGTGGGAAAACAAAGCTCACTCACTTACCTCATCACATGCTAATTAGTAAAAACACAGGTAGGATAATCATGGGAAATGCTACTGCTAATCCCCTGTAATACATAGCTTCACTCAAAGGGGGAGATAAAAGAGGTGCATTATGGGAAAATTAGCTACTGTAAATTGTGGTGATAACCCTCTGATTGGCGATGTTCATTAAGTGTGCTCCTGGTGAATCCCGGGAGTCTTATCAGGGTAGAAGCAAATTGAAAATCCAGAGTGAACTCAATAACCTGTCTCTGAATGTTGGGTAGACGCATGAGATAGTAATTGACGTCACGAAGGCCCAAACTGCCCAACGACCTGTTTTCCTAAACGGATCCTCCTTGTACGCAGCAAGTCAGGAGCGCCATGTTTTTTGGTGTTCACATCACTGATTACCTCTACTGGAAATGCACCCCTAACCGAGAAGGCACAACAGCTGCCTCCTCGAGCGGCTGCACCTGGAAGATTACAGACATATTCTGCCCATTTTCTGTGTTGTAATTCATTATTTTCTTTCCGTCCTGGGTGAGGGATCCCTCCTCTGTCTCTTCCATTTTCCCTGTTGATTTTATGAGTTTTTCCTCATCCTCGCTCCTGGGGTCTAAGGACAGAGGGTGTCGTATGCTGGACACACTGTAAAGCCCCCTGAGAATTTTTTTTGATTTGTAATATTGGGCTATATAAATAAAACATGACTTTTTTTTATACGATTTGAGACCGCTTGCAATTCCCAATCCATTCTAATCCGGCTTCATCACTTTCCGGTGGGCAAAATCAGACCACACATATCTTTGAGGACCGAGAACTAAGCAGAGTTCATCATTTGGAACTCTATCCCGCATATGACTTATGTATACATTGAGGACTGGTACCTGGTACCCCTGACTTCCTGTCTCTGCATGTGTGTAATGGATAAAAACCAGGCACCAGGAGCACACAACATAATTGTTTGAGCACACAAATGGCAATCAAACGTCTCTTAGCTCTCTCTTATTTTATCTAAAACTACTTTTGTAATCTAATATTTTTTTCATTCTTTCAAGACTACAAATCAAATCTCATATCAATATGGTTTTTTCCAGATCAATATAGACTTACGCTATGTGGATACAGCAAACAGCAGTCAACATTAAACCCCCTTCACATTCACTCACACACACACACACACACACACACACACACACACACACACACACACACACACACACACACACACTCACACTCACAACATTTCCCCTGAGATCCCCCATTATTCTGCATGGCCTCCACCGTACCCCTCCCTCTGTCCCTCTCATCCCATCACCCCAACCCCCTGCCAGACGGGAGGTTGCTATGGCGCTGCCTCAGCTACTCTGGTATCCAGGATACGCTGACACACTCTGAATCCTGATTGGCTGCCAGTTATGCAAGGGTGGGCACACAAAAAAGGAAGGGAAGGAAGGAGAAAAAAAAAGAAAAGAGGTTGATCCTGGATGTTAGATGGATGTCTGAGGCAGCGCGGCTCCAGGCAGAGCACCGAGCACCATTTTAGGCAGGAGAGAAAGGTGGGCTGAGACGGAGGAAGAGGAGAAGGAAAAAAAAGAAGCGAGAGGAAGAACGAACGGCCGGTTTCTTTAAGAGGAAGGAACGCCGGAGCATATGTAGGCTGGAGTGAGAGAACAACGGGCTGGAAACAAGGAGGCAGGGGAAAGGAAAATACGAGGAGGCATGAGCACGAACCGGAGAGATGCTGCATCCCGTCCTCTGTCTTTTATCCTGAGAGAGGAAGCATCGTAAAGGAGGAGAAAGGCTGAACTGGTGGAGCATTGAAAGAAGAAAGGAAGGATCCTGAAAAAGGAGAGGAGGTGCTCACCCAGACTCACACACACGCTGACACAGAAGCGCTCCCAGCCTCCACGGGCAGGCCGGGGAGACGCTGGCCACCGGCAAAGTGGCAGGAGAACCGGAGGAGGTGGCCGCCGGCGCCGAGCGGAGGAGGAAGGCGGCCCTAGAGAGCGGCGAGGGAGACAGCCGGGGGGGGGCACGAGGCGACGCGGTGTGGTGTGGCGGCTCGGCGCTGAGGGAGAGACGGAGGGGGAGGGGCAGCGCGGCCGAGGAGGAGGAGGAGGACGAGGCCAGGGGGCTGATGGCTCGCGGCAGCGGCTCGGGGAGGTGGAGCCGGCAGAAGCTGGGCTTCCTCACCACCATGCTGCGCTGCAACCTCCCCCCTGAGACCCAGAAGGTGGTGGTGTTCATCATCATGATGCTGCTGATCGTCATCAACGTGGTGCTCATGTTCCTGCTGGCCTTCCAGTAGAACGCACACACAGACTAATATACTCTCTCTCACACACACACACACACACATGAACACATTTGGCTCTTTATGAAGATGAACTGAAACACACACGGAGCAAGGAGCAGAAGAGGACTTCCTGGTGGTGAGCGGGGCTGCTGGGATTGATGGGTGTCCAACATGGCAGAAGCAGAACACAGGTACAACCAGGAGAAGATCATATTGTGTGAGAGTGGGTCAATTGTGTACACCAGAAACATGTAAACAAGAGCAATTAAGGGTCCTATGTGTGAAGGGGTTTATCAGGAAGTGTTCTCTCATACCTCTAGTCATCAATGCAGATGGGTGGTCCAGGTGTTGAGATGTCTGCTGTGTGATTTTAGTCTCCACCCCAATACAGTGAAAATGATGTAATTCAGATTGGGGTGCATAAAGGATAAGGCTTATGTCATTCATTGCTTTACTAAATGTCAACAAATTTCATAAAAAGACCTGAAAAAACATTGGTTTAGTCTGTCTCTCAATACTTCCTGAGTTCCCTGACCTCTGTGGCTCCATTGGCTAATCAATACATCTTTATCTTTCAAAAAATAAATAAACAAGTTTCATTTAAAAATAAAGCTTACTAAGTTCCTAAAGCAGCTGGACAAACTTCACTCAACAAGCAGGGAATTGTGTTTTTCTTGAGGTTGTTTTAACGTAAGATAAATACATTTGTGGTGTTACAGTGAGCATATAAGGCAACATAAACATGATGTATGCAGCTTGTGCAGATAGGATTTGTTGACTCAGTAAATACAATATTGTTCCTAACCTTACACTTACTTGTAAATGGAGAATTTCTTAGGTATTTGAGAGGATATTTGGATGATCCAAACCCTCTGAAAGCAGTATAACAGAGTGCTTTCAGGTGATGTAACACACTCTGTGGACACATGGTTAGATAACATGGCTGATTGTGTTCCTAACATAGGACACGGCAGGTTTAACCGAACTGAATAGACTTGTATCATTCATTTAGTGCCATATATTATAATGAAATCGGAATGTAATGTAGAATATACTGAAGTTACCATACAGTCGTACCTCCAAAACATTTTGTATCTGCTTTTATTAGCATTTTCTACAGCATCTAAAGTGCAGCCTCTGCCATGCCACTTGAACATTTATGAGTTTACGTGTCATACACTTTGTTTGACTTGGCTCTGAACACTAGATCTTGTTTGACTGCCTGGTTTGTTTATTTTTGTAAGAGTTGTTCTAAATAAATCTGTCAAGACTACACTGCAGATATTGTAGCAACAAAGGCAACAGTTCTCACAGTTTGGAAAGTTTTCTTTTAACGGTGCTTTTGTGGACTGGATTTGTTATTTAGGAAAAGGATAGTAACATTCTGTTATTGTTTAGGGGTCAGATGTTCTCACCCAGAGAAGCTGCTTTACCACTTGGTAGACAAACATAATTTGAGGGAATCGTCTTCGCTGCTCTTTTCTCTCCTACCTGTCCTTATGCTCCACTATTCAGCGAACCAATCAAATCACTGTCTGCAGCTTAGATGTATGAAGACGATCACACTTATCTTGTTTCCATTGATAATTCACTGCAGGGCAAACACCACTCTGCTCTTTACCTGTCCCACAATGGGACACTCCATACATGTCATTATTTATTGATTTTTAGCACCAAGTTTGATTTTAATCAGCTGTTCACAAACGTCTCTGAAATAAAGTTGGTGCCTCATCATGTGTTTGTACAAATCTGTGAGCTTTTTAAGTAGAGGGATTTCAGATTGTTTTCAATGTAATAATATTAGTGTAACATTATCCTAAAGTGTATTTTACTTCCAGGTATTATTCAGGTCCCTCATTTGTTTATGTTTCTGTGCCTAGAAGAAGCTGTCTGACCCTTAAAGTCAGACAACATATGTTTATACCCGACCTACGCTGACTTCAGCTTCAGGGGCACAGCTGCTTGTGTATTAGCCATGGCTGTTACCATAGTGACCTTTACTCATGCTATATGAGCACTGTGATGATGCTTGACCTGTTTACGTGCAGCTCGATGCTCACTATCCTCACATTAGAAACGGGACGGTGTGCTGTCATGAAGTCGCGGAGGATTCAGGAGAGAAGGGCAGCACCGAGGCAAGATCATGTGGGAGGGTTGCCTAGCAACAGCCGTATCGTCTGTTTCCCTCATCGCCATGATGGATCACAGGAGCCAGATCGCAGAAACATATAAAACGGCTGTCTTTCAAATCACTATCATCCGGACCCTCCAATCAGATCCTGCTGACGGGGTCCAGCAGAGTCTGTGTTGCCTCTGAAGGAAAGAGAAGCATAATGGACGCCTCTGTAGAGACCGGGCCATGTTGACGCAGTAAAACTGGTGGTGTGTACGAGGCGGTGTGAAATATGACCACTGCAGTGTCTTCATCAATAACACCGGCTCCATCTCCTCTTCTGGTGTCACACTTCCTCTGCTGTCTCTCCGTCCACTTTCACCTTCATTGATTTCTCATTCTACACTCAGACTTCACCGCAATCAATGTCTGCTCACTCTGCCCTGCTTGTTAAGCTTAATAAAGTTGGAAGGCATGGACTGACCCTGTGTGCGCTGAATGAAGGGCTTTCCTTTGACCTTATGCCTTTTTTAAAACTGATTTCCCTGAACATGCCTTTGCTGAAAATACAAATTCTATCGAGGGAACATTATGTACCATCGCTGAGAGTGCATGATTTGGGCTGTAAATGGGCTGACTGAACACAAAAACATTGCACACAGTATGACTTTGTAACACTGCAGTCCATTTTTTTAAACATCCACAACTATCAATCGTATTGTTTTTGTTTTCCAAGCTCTTAAGAGTCAGCTTCTTTTTGTCCCATTATGCAGTATATAGTGTGATAACACTGTCCTTCAAAACCATACAAAAAAAAATCGACTTTGTTCGCATGGACCCACATTAAAACATCCTAAGATCCATCATGTGTCGAGGAAACGACACGAGACGCTGATGATCCTCTGACTTGTAATCCTGCACCACCATGAGGTTAACATATTTTTTTAGTAATATCTCAAAATTGTAATAACTTTAAAATCAATACGAGTAATGGTTACACAAATGTTTGAGGAGTGTGTTGCACTGACGTCGTTCCCTCAGTTAAACCCATCCATCCTTTTAGTGGCTGGTTGTTTACGATGGGTTTTCATTATCTGATTAAATGTCCAACACTGCAGCAGCACATGATGACCTCTGACCCCCTCTCCTTCCTCTGCAGCTGATCAGCGATGGCAGCGTAGTGTACGCCGAGGCGCTCTGGGATCACGTCACCATGGACGACCAGGAGCTGGGCTTCAAAGCCGGGGACGTCATCGAGGTAGTGGATGCCACGAACAAGGAGTGGTGGTGGGGTCGCATCGTGGACAGCGAGGGCTGGTTCCCTGCCAGCTTCGTACGGGTGAGACTACCTCCATCACTGATCCAATTACCCCTGCAGGCGGCTCTTAATTGCTCTGTTTGATTGATGACTGCTCCTGCTGCAGTGACACCAGAACATTAACCTTCAACCGGTTATCAATACTCCTGTAGAATTAGAGTTCTGTTTCTTTTAGTGAAGACATTCCTCATGTAAATATAATATGTTATTGCACATGGGGTTCAAAATGCTTGTGCGTATTTGATTTATGTGAAGATATAATGTAAAATTAAAGGCAAGGCAAGTTTATTTATATTGCACTAGGGCTGTGCAATTAATCGTATTTTAATCGCAATTACGATTTTGGCCTGCCACAATTACGAAAACAACATAATCGAAAAAAACAATTATTTTGCTTTGCTAGGTTGTGACAGTGCACTGCAACATATTTGATCTCATTAATTTTGGTCTCATTTATTTGTATTTATATATGTTTAGTAGCTTGTGGAAGTGCGCTCCAAAATATTTGTTGATCTTGTTTATTGGTATTTATTATTTTGATATTATTTATTTAAATGTATAATTTATTTTATTTATTTTTGTATTGGTTTTTCAGTTGAATTATACGTTCAGGGTAATCAACAGTTAAACAGATACTGTTCAAATTATTATTTGTATTTGTTTTAAAGTTCAATAAATAGATTTTTTCAAAGTCAATGAATAATCGTATTTAATAATCGTGATATCAATTATTGACCCAAATAATCGTGATTATGATTTTTGCCATAATCGCACAGCCCTATATAGCACCTTTCAACACAAGGCAATTCAAAGTGCTTTACAAAAATGAAAGACATGAAGAAGCATTAAGAAACATATTATAAAATGGCATTTCTAAGCAAAGATAATTCAAATTGAATAACAAAGGTACATGAATTAAAGTGACAGTGCAGTGTGAGATACACACATGCTATCTTTTTAGCAGACATAGTTTTCTATCACCTCACTTTCTTTCTACTTTCCTTTTTAACTTATCCTTTAGTTATTTCAAGTGTTTCATGCTAAACAAACCCCCCTTTAGAACATTCTAATCTGCAACCCGATATTCCGAAAATTCAACGGATCCTGGCCGTATTTTTGTAGCATATCAAATGTATTTGCATTATAGAGATGCCGAGGTGTTTATTGGGAAAAATGGTTGTTTAATAATTATTTTTCGTGTCCTCCTCAGTTGCGTGTGAACCAGGATGAGCCCATGGAGGAGTATATGGCCCACTTGGAGGGGGCTCAGGCTGGAGAAGAGAACCGGGCCGGTCTGGGTCTGTTGCTGGGACCTGGTCTACCCTGCAAAGAACAGATGAGGACCAACGTCATCAACGAGATCATGAGCACAGAGAGAGACTACATCAAGCACCTGAAGGACATCTGCGAGGTCTGCATCACATCATGTCAAAACATCATGATTTGTGTTCCTTATTGTTAAAAAACGAATACCTCAACCCCTCATCTGTCCAACCTGTTCTGATTATTTTTTCTGTTTCCCTCAGGGTTACATCAAACAGTGCCGCAAGAGGACAGACATGTTCACTGAAGAGCAGCTTCGGACCATCTTTGGCAACATCGAAGATATCTATCGATTCCAGAGGAAGTTCCTGAAAGGCCTGGAGAAGAAATTCAACAAGGAGCAGCCGCACGTCAGTGAGATCGGCTGCTGCTTCCTCGAACACGTAAGCAGATTCAAATAAGTCAATCCACAGTAGTGTACAAATATAGAAAAGATGGCACACTGAAGTAAGGTAAATATTGTTTTCGTAACACTATCTTGTCGTCTTGTGTGCAGCAAACAGATTTCCAGATCTACTCAGAGTATTGCAACAACCACCCCAACGCCTGCATGCAGCTCTCTAAGGTCATGAAGGTCAACAAGTACGTGTTCTTCTTCGAGGCCTGCCGACTCCTCCAGAAGATGATCGACATCTCGCTGGACGGCTTCCTGCTCACTCCGGTTCAGAAGATCTGCAAGTACCCTCTGCAGCTGGCTGAGCTGCTCAAATACACCAACCCACAGCACAGGTGAGATCAAACTGAGATCAGGAGAACCACCGGTGCATTTATGGGCTAGGGTTAGCTTTGAAAGATGCTGTTGATATCGATATTTATCTTGTAAATACCTTGGAAATAGTAGTTTGACAAAATCTTATCTTAAGTCAAGGTCCTCACTTGGTAAAGAAATTAAAAAAGGTTAGACACTGTTGAAGTTTTTGGTCTTTTCATGGATTTTTTCAAACAAAAACAAATATATAGAACATAATCCTTTAAGCTTCATCTTGACTCACCAACTGCATGTCACTCTATGATCTTTAGGGACTATAAAGATGTGGAGGCGGCCTTAAACGCCATGAAGAACGTGGCGAGGCTCATCAACGAGAGGAAACGGCGCCTCGAGAACATCGACAAGATCGCCCAGTGGCAGAGCGCCATCGAGGACTGGGAGGTGGGGAAAGAGGCCTTTCTGTCAATCTCTCGCTCTGCAACAGAACATGGTAGCAATTTACGTGTGTGTGTGTGTGTGTGTGTGTGTGTGTGTGTGTGTGTGTGTGTGTGTGTGTGTGTGTGTGTGTGTGTGTGTGTGTGTGTGTGTGTGTGTGTGTGTGTGTGTGTGTGTGTGTGTGTGTGTGTGTGTGTGTGTGTGTGTGTGTGTGTGTGTGTGTGTGTGTGTGTGTGTGTGTGTGTGTGTGTGTGTGTGTGTGTGTGTGTGTGTGTGTGTGTGTGTGTGTGTGTGTGTGTGTGTGTGTGTGTGTGTGTGTGTGTGTGTGTGTGTGTGTGTGTGTGTGTGTGTGTGTGTGTGTGTGTGGATCCATGCAGGGAGACGACATCCTCAGCAGGAGCTCTGATCTGGTCTTCTCAGGAGAGTTGAGCAAGCTGTCCCAGCCTCAGGCCAAGAGTCAGCAGAGAATGCTCTTCCTCTTTGATCATCAGATGGTCTACTGCAAAAAGGTGACTCAGCACTTTGCACTATGTTATGCTGATGATAGGGGTAGAAATGAAACACATCTTCATCACTCAGTCAGCCTTCTAAAGCCTGGCTGAACTTCCTTTACCGTTGCAGGACCTGCTGAGGAGAGACATGCTGTACTACAAGGGACGGATGGACATGGACCACATGGAGGTGATAGACGTGGAGGACGGGAAGGAGAAGGACTTCAACATCAGCGTGAAGAACGCCCTGAAGCTGCGGTCGCTGGATGGAGACGAGGTCCACCTGCTGTGTGCCAAGAAGCCCGAGCAGAAGCAGCGCTGGCTCCGAGCCTTCTCCGACGAGAGGACTCAGGTCCAGCATGACCAAGAGACAGGTCTGAAATCTTCATGTTAACTCTCATTATCTCCATACTTCCTTCTCTGCTCTCTCTTAAAATGTGATTGATATCCTCCTTTTCTTCTTCTCAACAACATCCACATTAATACTTTAAACTCCGCTCTGTGTGGTGCCTTAGGAAATGTAAGACTGCCAGCAGTAAATGGATTTCTAAGATGCTGATCCAGAGAATAAAAAGAAGAATGTCAGCGAGGCTCGCTCCGTCTGTATTAGACATCTGCTTCACTGTGACGTTATGAATAATGCGGAATTAGTGTTTAGACTGTTTTGCACATTTTCCATCCATTTAATTCTAAGGGGAGGAGATCTGTTCGATTCACTTTTTATGAGCAAACTAAAGTAGGACTTATCAGGAATGCTTCTTAGTGATTGTTGCATCTGGTTAAAGAACAGAGGAACATGTGTGATTTGTGAAACTTGGCTCTATGAATGAACTGACTTCATAGTGGTACTATTTCTGTTTTTCAGGCTTCTCTCTCACGGAGGTCCAGAAGAAGCAGGCCATGCTTAATGCCTGTAAAAGCCATCCAGCTGGGAAACCCAAAGGTATGCACCCAAGCGTTCAGAGACAGATTGCACTAGTAGCTGCACATCAAGCACCTGCATCCTGAGTGTGGGAGACTCAGTGTGGGGTTTTCTATCACTGCAGACTGTATATCTTCTTGCTCATAAGTTTTATTTCCTTTTTCAGAGGATATAAAACCCCTCAGGTCACCCTAAGTCTCAGTGTAATATCAGTCTTAAGATGTCTTTCTTCTCCCTGAGCTCGGACAGGGGTCTCCTCACTATAAATAATATATAAGCAGTGATCTATGATGCATGCAGCAGCACTTTTTATTGGAATTGTATGTCACCGGGACCTTTTATTCTTCAAGCATCCCTAGAAGTAAAGGTTTTACTCGGACTAAAAATACTTCTTCAGCAGAGTTATTTATGAAGAGTCCTACTGTGTGCACTCACTCTAACAAAAGACAGACTCTGACAAAAAATGTCCCAATCGCTGTTTTTTTGATTGACACTGTTAAGAAAACCCTAACCCTAACCCTAACCCTAACCGAGACACATTTCAGTACTTAACAAAATAAAACGTTGGCGTTTTTTTCTGGCAGACAGACAGACAGACACACAGACACACAGACACACAGACAGACAGACAGACAGACAGACAGACAGATGAATGTATGCTTCCTGTCACTGTGTACGACCTCTCTTCAGTATTCTGTATGTGATGATCCTTTCCCTCCATGTCCTCCCCAGCAGTGACCAGGCCGTACTACGACTTCCTGCTGAGACAGAAGCACCCCTCCCTCCCCACGGCCGTGCCCCAGCAGCAGGTGTTCATGCTGGCCGAGCCCAAGCGCAAAACCTCCACCTTCTGGCACAACATCGGCAGACTGACACCCTTCAAGAAGTAAAGGGGGAAAGAAATCTGAAAGGAAGAAGTATGGGATGAAGGAACAGAGAAGGAGGAGGGGGGCTCCCTGCTCGTGCCTGATAGACCCTTTTTATTCTCTCTTTTCTTTCCTACTCGTTGCCCTAATACTGATCCATTGTATAGATAAGGATGATTATGATGAAAAGGAGATTATTTTTCGAAAGCACTTTAAAGGTTGGTCAACAATCAGACTTGAGAATGGTCTCCCGGAGACACGGAGAGTGGACTCTTGCTTAACTTGCTACTACTACTACTACTACTACTACTACTACTACTACACCTTCAATCCGGCGCCGATTGGTACTAATACTACTACTGTACTGCTGTGAGCGAGCGGGGGACTCCTGATTGTGCTGCCTCTGTGAAGACGTTGGCCATCGTCAAAATTGTGTCATTTCTTTCCACTGTTGTGTTGTTTTATGATTTCACAGATGCCAAGTGTTCACAGTGCCAGACGATTTGTTTTTATATTTGTTTGTTCCGTGTCTGTTTATGAAAAAAAAGGGAAGAGAGGAGGTAGTTTCCTGTGCTTTTTCTCCGTGCAAATATATCATTTCTAAAGTGTTTTCGTGATCTCCATCTGCCGAGCTCTGTATGTCTCTGGTGCGCACACTTCATGAAATGCAGGAAGATTAGGAGCGACCCACAACTAGCGGCGACACACACACACATTCCTCGAGTCTGTTCCTCGACTCCTCCTTATACCTACCATGTCAATGAAAGTAAATAGCCTGTTACTTTTTCGTTTTTTTTTTTTAAAGTGCCATTTTGAAGTGTGTCATGGATGACTTACAATGACATGCATGGATGTGATGAAAAAATACTGTGAAGAATATTTTTTTATCTCTGAAGAACCCTGCTATATTTAACCAGATCCAAGAAACTGGGATTTCATTGTGCTACCAGGCTGACACGCACACGCACACGCACACGCACACACACACACACACACACACACACACACACACACACACACACACACACACACACACACACACACACACACACTGACGTTCTTTTATCTACCTTTCCTCCCGATAGCCAGTCATCCTGCTCCGTGTTTCTGGTCCTCCAGTATAACCTAATTTCACATCAATGCAGCCCAGTGATTTCCCTCTGTAAGTGCATTCAGTGAAATGTGCTCCTTTCACCTTTTATGTTCAAATGTTTTTGCTTCTGACGATATGGAATATTAAACATTCCTAAGCTGATAAATGTGTCTGTCGGTCGAGATCATTATTAATTTATTTCACACCACACAGCACTCGCACATCATGGGTGGGCACGTCACGAAGCTATGGGGTTTAACCTCCAGCTGCGTGTGATATTTAAATCAGGTTTAAAGGAACACTCAAGTTCAAGCTTCTCATCTACGTTATTTATATTTCTCTTGGCGTTTTTTTATAAGCATGAATTCTTTATTAAAGGGACATTCTGGAAGATCAAACCAATTTATGTGAGAGGATAAACAATAGTTATAAATAGCAGTTTTATGAATTGTGATCTTGTAATACAACTTTTTTTTTTTTTTTTTAAATAACTATTAGGCACAACTCCCCACAAATGTTATTCTTACAATCCTTTTGTTTGTGCTTTTAAAGGTAGGGTAGGTAAGTTTGAGAAACCGGCTCGAGATCGCTAGAATTTGAAAATACACAACCGGAGAAAATCTGCCACTTCCTTATAGAGCCCCTCCTCCAACACACACGAACGCGCACATGACCAATGAGGGCACGAGATAAGTTTGTGCCCCGATGGAAGGCTGACAGGCAGGTAGGCCATCCAATCATTTTAGCCGGGCCGCCTAAAATGATTGGTCGTGCTTTTTACAGTATTACGGCTTCCACAGATGACATTTTTTAATGGATTTTTTGTCAAAGCACTTAAGATATTCATTGCTATCGGGATGTTAAGAGCATTCCATGGAATATAACAAAAAGTGTATCTCGAGCCGGTTTCTCAAATTTACCTACCCTACTTTTAAGTGTATCTAAATTATTATTTGTGCAAGCAGTAGAGTTAATGTATTGGTTACTGCACATATACTGGTTAGGTTTATATGCAGATTAGAGGCGGTGAAGCTTTCCAATTATTCCCAACCCCTAAAGTGGGAAGTAGATTGCTCATAGGCCATCTCTCCATATATCACACTTTTGATTATCTTTGCTCAGTATTACAAAACTAGGAAATTGGATTTTCACTGCTTGAAATGTTTAGCATAACATTAAAACATTGATATCCTGTTTTGCTGTCGGTCACAAGAGGCAACTTTGATTTATTGTCAAAAGGAAAGAAAAATCGAAACAAAGCATAATTTCATTAAAGGACTGAATCCCCGCGGACTCTGTAAGTGGAACTGAAACACAATGTGACGTCTCTGTCGGCTGGGGTGAGGAACCGCAGGAGAACCGGAGCTTCAAACACACGCAGAAGTAGGCCAGTGGGATGAAGCCTGACAACTCTTTGATACGAGTTAGATCTGAAGATGCTTTCAGCTCCTGATGGTGAGACAGTAATGGACCGTAGACATGGAAAACAATACTCAATATTTATTTTAATTCATCATAATGGCTATATCTCCAGTTAAAACAATGTGTAGATGGCATCTGCTGAACGGAAACAAGGATAAAAGCTGCTTTGTTGCCAGGTTTCAGTCAGAACAACTAGAGCACTGGAGTTTCTCACATAAGTGTAACACTTATCCAGACACCACAAATACAACGCTCAACTTGAAAGACTTCTACAAAAGAAGTAAATCTGCAAAAAAATATAAATATACAAATACAACTTCATTTGAATATTTTAGGTTAAATAAAGACAGGGAAAAATTATCTTTGATATGTAAAAATACAATATCATGAATAAGCATGTGTCGTACACAGATATTTTTTTTGAAGAGCTACATAAAATACAAAGACGCATTCCTGTCTGTAATATATCAATTATTCTCATCTGCAAACATATTACAAATGGGATTGGAGTTTATAGAGATACACTATTAATTAAGTGTAATGGAATTTGTCCCCAATGCAGTTTTGCACTTGTGTAGGGAGTGTGCTTAAATGTTGGCCTCTTCCATGCATAGTCATTTACTTTTGCCATCTGCGCATCTGGGCATATTGAGCAGCGTACGACTGTCTGCCTTTGTGCTGTTCTTCCTCTGATTCAGAAATCTCCTCCTCTCCTTCATCATCATCATCTTCTTCTTCTTCATCATCATCCTCTTCTTCTTCCTCCTCCTCTTCTTCCTCCTCTATGCCTCTCTGGCGTTGTAAGGTGCTGCGAGACTGCAAAAATAAACAACAATTATGGACAGCAATTCAAAATTAAATAGGGAATAAATCATGGCTTATCTCACCCTCCTGACGGTGTCTGGGTGCTGGCTGTGTTGTCTGTGGTGTTGGCCCGTGGTGGAGGCCAGCGTTGACCTGAAGGTTTGACCTTTGGGGGAGGCCAGAGGGGGAGTGAGGTAGAGGCCGGTGAGGGGAGGAGAGGAGCTCAGAGGAGAGAGGCGTCCAGCCAGTGAGTCGGACATCTTGATCCGTCCATTGAACAGCTTTGGAGACATAACGGCAGCGTCAAGTTGAACCAAAAGATCCAGGACAGAGGGTGTAAGATAGGCCTTATGACCCGGTGGTAAAGCTTGAAACTGCACTGAGTATAAACTCTAATACTCCAGTCTGTCTTACAAGTTGATAGCAGGCATTTAGTTTGCTAAGTCGTCTTGACTACAGTGCTTAAAGATTGCTGTGTCCTTATCTTACAGTAAGTTACCTCCAGATCCTTTTGGATGTTCATCTCCTCCAGGTTGTGGCATGTGTGTGCGTAGACCTCCAGCGCTTTGGCATGGAACAGCATCTCCACCGTGATGAAGTCTGTGAAGATCCTCTGCAGACACACAGAGCAGGGGTTGTTGTCAGTGAGGCATGGACGCGGTAGGATGTGTGTGTGCTGTGAGTGTGAGGCGTACTTTGATATCCTCCAGTTTCTGCCTCTGGAAGTCTGTGATGCTCTCCTCCAGCTGTCTGATGCTGCGCTGGGCATTGTTCGACGCCTTCTGAGCATTTACTTCTGCCTGTCATTTAACACACAATACAGCATACAGAGCTTTACCTCAGGGTCAGTATGAACTACTAAAGGGTCAGTAATGTGAAGATAGTCTGGAGATAATGATAAAAACCATGTACGTTACCTGAGACTGAAAGGGATTGTCAAGAAAATATATAATCATTTTAAATCTTTCTTGAAAACTCAGTCAGACACATTTTGTGGACATGTTACGCTGTCAGATGTGTGAAGGATACGATGCTCTGTCGATCCGCTGGGTTCCTCAGTCGGATTTTCTCCAGTTTCTGCATCTCCTTCAGCTCTCTGTTCAGATCCGTGCTGAACTTCTTCAGATCTGCCTGAATAGACACACTGTCAGCTCACACAAAACTCTCTTTTTGATGTTGTGTGTAGATGTGTTTCACTGTACTCACAAGACAAGACAAAAGACAGCAGTAGTTGTTTACATAAAATGATGCAAGTATTCTTATCTGAGAATATACACCTTGAATTGTATTTGAGGACTAGAACATTATGCATTTTGTAAATCATATTCCAATTGAAAAGAGAGACTACCCAGGGTTTTTTATTTGTATTTGTTCCCTACCTGTTATTAGGTAATAAAAACTATGCATAACTCAGAAAATGGATTCCCAGAAGCAAAGCTTATTGGAAAGAGGGAATTAAATGCAGTCTGTTATTAGTTTAATTACAGAAATATCTACATTGGACGCACATATATGTTACCAAACTCACCCTTTTATTCTTAACTACTTCTCCATAGGCTTTTAGAGGAGCGACAACTCTTGTCTCCAGTCTCTCAACCTGCAACAATAAAGCGCTCATCGTTACATCAACTAATTCCTTTTTTGCAGAAGATATAGAGCACATAACATAACCCCAGCGTCTCCTACCTGAGCCTGCCTGTAGTCCTGCACCATGGCCAGGTCCTCGGCCAGGTTCTTCAGGCCGCTCTGCAGCTCGGGGTCCTCTCTGCTGGAGAATTCAAAGAGCTGAGCCACCAGCAGGTCGGCCTTGTCTCTCAGCCTGGCCGTCTTCCTGGTGTAGGAGGCCAGCAGCGAGCAGATCTCCCCCAGGTACTTCTCTGCATCCTTCACCGCCTGCTCCATGCTCTTCACCTGGACATCCCTGCCAGTAGGATATCTATTATTGTAACATATGGGGAATAAACTAGCTATTAGTTATTGTCTCTGTAGATAATGTGAAGGATAACAGAACTGACTCCTACCTGGAGAAGAGGGTGGTCATATCTGCTCTGTTCCTGCAGCTGCTGTGCTTTGTTGACTCGGCTGATTCTCACCTTTACCAGGTAACAGAAGACAGTTGCCATGGAAACACTTACAACAGATGGTGTGCAACAGCTGAAGTGAGGGTGTAATTGCTGCTTTTCGCCACACGAAGGCAGCAGAGCATTATTATCGCCATTTTACAGGGAGGAAGAACTGAGGAAGAGTCTTTCTGTCTCTTCTACAGGGTTCTTACACCTTTTGCAAAGTCAAATTCAAGCACTTTTCAAGCACTTTTTCAAGGTGCATTTCAAGCTTATCAAGCATCTTACAGCTGTTGTAAATTACATATGTATATACACATACTTATCCTCATATGATTATTTCCCTACCTCACATTAAATCAGATGTTCTTTATGCTATAATGTATTGTATACCTGTGGTGTTTATTTTTATTATTTTATTATCTTTGCTTTGTAATGCCTGTTGTAAAATGCCATTATATAATGTGTTTTTACTGTATTTATTCATAAAAAGTATTTTAATTCGTTTTGTAAAGCACTTTGAATTGTCGTGTACAGAAAAGTGCTATATAAATAAACTTGCCTTGCCTTGCCTATAAACAACCAAATGTGTGTTTCGTGATAGCATTCTACATGAGGATGAAAAATTAAAGAAAAAGAAAACAAAGTTTAATATTTCAAAATGAGTGACCCATCTGTAAGTAGACTGGGCCTCCCATATAACCTGGCTGAGCCAATATACAACAATCAGCCAAATAACTTTTCAATAAATTCTCTATTAACATGTTTCAGGTCCTTAGGTTGGCAGTAAACATAAGGCCTACAGTATACTGTATGCACACATATACTGTATAAACTCAAATGTGAATTTTCCTTCACATTGAATCAGCAATCAGAAATTATGCAAATCAAATCAACTTTCAATCAGTCTTTGAGCTCCTTGAGTTGAAAAAGCAAACCAAAAACCTGCACAGAACACTGCACTGAATCATTCAAGGTAAGGCTAAACAGCATACGGCCTGTTAGGGAGTGTCTTTCAGTTCCTTGAGTTTGTCAGTTAGCTGTCTCTCCAAAGTCTCCAGATGTCTTTCCTTTTCCTTTGCAGCTCTTCCAAGGCCATTGGGCTTGGAGATGAAGCTTACTTTACCCCAACTGGAACCCCCGATGCCGAACTCAGTCGTCAGGTGGAAAAACTATGGCAGATAGGTGTCCCCCCCCCTTCCAGAAAGAGCCAGGCATCACCAGATCCAAGCGCCCCTCCAGTCCAGTGGACCCCCTTCCAGCAGCTCATTGACCGGGTCCTGCGTCCCACTCTCAGTATGCAGATATCCGGATGACTACATCGTTCAAAGTGAGATGTTGGGGCAGGTAAAGGCGGGGCTCCAAGCTAACCTGAAGAAGAGTGAGTTGGGGTATCTGGGGTCGATGGAGTCTCCTCTTTGGTGCCGGGATGGGTGGGAGGTGGTGGTAGGTAGCAGCAGGTGTATGTGCAACACATCTTTATTCTTAAGAAAAGCTTTAAGTACAATTGATTGTTTTTGTTCATTTAATATTGAGGAGAGCCAACAGGAAGTCTCTCATCAGCTGCAGCCTTCTTCTTTATTTTCCAAAATGCCTCCACGCTCCTCTGTACGTCTCAAACTCGCCCCGTGATGAATAAACTGTGAACAAATAAAACCTGAGCTTACAGATTTGTCTGGAACACCAGAAAAACACTGAGCAATAACTACATTTTAACTAAGTGTTGAAACCTCAATAAATAAACTCCACACGGTACGACCCCTCACCTTTCTGTGTGTCTTCACTTCCTGTCACCTGAGAGGAGAAGGAGAGAGAGAGAGAATAATGATGATGATGATAAGACAAAGAGAAACAGCTAAAATGATGAAGAGAGAAAGAAGAGTGTTGTTTTCCTCTGAGGTCACGCTCCATTAAAGAGTTTCATATCTTGATGAATGGAGGATATGGTTTCAGTACTCACAGGTCTTCTGGATCGTGGCTTTGATCGTCTCTCCTCTGATCCTGTAGGGATGAACACAACCCAACAGTTTAAGATCCAGTTTAAATAAGTGTTTGTTCTTTGAGTCAGCTTCAGAGTCCTGATCTCATGCTTTACATCCCATCATATCTTCTCTGCAAACACTATGACTGCCTGCCACAGCTCTCAGCTGCATGACAGGATCAGGGGGGTCCAAACTTTTTTCACCGAGGGCCACATACAGAATAATATATAAAGGTCTGGGCCGCTCTCTAGAGGTTTACTGCCTCATAAGTGCCGCAGTTTGGACACCCCTGGTCTAGAAACTAAAAACATCCCATAAGAACAGACCACCTTTCCCACTCTTCTGTAAAATCCCATATGTCTGTTAGAGAGTTGATTACTAAATGTGGCTTTGCATGTTCAGCTGGCCTTCTATAGTTGATGGAAGAATGAAAGAGCCTGCAGTCAGTGGGTAACATCACTGATCTGTTTCCCCAGTGAGAGAAACACCTCCCTGTGGTTCATACAATACTGCTGAACCAGCAGAGACCCCTTACTGACCAGAGAGTCTCCAGTCTGCAGTCTGGACTCTCCATAAGATCTCTCAGCAGCTTCTCTGAATCCTGAAGAGCGTTGTCTCTCAGGTCCAGATCTCTCAGATGGATGTTGGACTTCAGAGCTGAGGCCAGAGCAGAACAGCTGATCTCTGACAAACTGCAGCTAACCAGTCTGAATAAAGAAAACATGATGAGGATAAAAATCAGTTTATAATCAGATGTGTTACTCAACATTGAAATGAATGGGAACAAAAACACATGTCTTCTTCAGAAAGTCAACTTTATCCTGTAAAACTAATATTACTTTAGATGAACTTTATTCAGACGCTATGGTTTACTAAATATTAAAAACATAGATTTACTTTGAACAACTAACATCTATTACAGTTCCTTTAAGAATCAGTCAACATTTATCTCTGCAGTTCTTACTTTAGTACCTACAATAGAAAGTATGAATAAAAGAACATTTACAACTTAAAGGTGGGGTAGGTAAGTTTGAGAAACCGGCTCGAGATACACTTTTTGTTATATTCCATGGAATGCTCTTAACATCCCGATAGCAATGAATATCTGAAGTGCTTTGACAAAAAATCCATAAAAAAAATGTCATCTGTGGAAGCCGTAGTACTGTAAAAAGCACGACCAATCATTTTAGCCGGCCCGGCTAAAATAACTGGATGGCCTACCTGCCTGTCAGCCTTCCATCTGTGCACAAACTTATCTCGTGCCCTCATTGGTCATGTGCGCGTTCGTGTGTGTTGGAGGAGGGGCTCTGTAAGGAAGTGGCAGATTTTCTCCGGTTGTGTATTTTCAAATTCTAGCGCACTCGAGCTGGTTTCTCAAACTTACCTACCCTACCTTTAATAGATGTAAGTTAATTACGTAGAAGAATCAGGTTGAATAACTAATGAAACATGAGATCTCCAGCAGTAACAGAGAGTCAGTGAACTGACCTGAGAGTCTCCAGTCTGCAGTCTGGACTCTCCAGAAGATCTCTCAGCAGCTCCACTCCTGAATCCTTCAGAGCGTTGCTACTCAGGTCCAGATCTCTCAGATGGGAGGGGTTGGATTTCAGAGCTGAGATCAGAGCAGAACAGCTGATCTCTGACAAACTGCAGCCCCTCAGTCTGAATAAAGAAAACATGATGAGGATAAAAATCAGTTTATAATCAGATGTGTTACCCAACATTGAAATGAATGGGAACAAAAACACATGTCTTCTTCAGAAAGTAAACTTTATCCTGTAAAACTAATATTACTTCAGATGAACTTTATTCAGAAGCTATGGTTTACTAAATATTAAAAACATAGATTTACTTTTTACAACTAACATCTATTACAGTTCCTTTAACCTGTTAGACCCCAAGCCTGTTTTTCAGGTTTCAGGCTCGAAAATGACATGCCCAGAACAAATGACTATAACTTCACTTCTAAAAGGGTTAAATTAATAATCTTTTTTCTCAAAGCAAGGTTACATCTGTGAGTTGGATGTAGAAGTGTCAGAATCAATATAGATGTTTCTGTGTCAGAGTAAATTCAGATGGAACATAGTAAAAAAAGTGTAAATTCTTACCTCCGCCTAAAAAAACCCCATTACTTATAGTGAAAACCACCCTTGAATGATGGGTTAGTAGCCTAAAAGCTTTAAGAATCCAAAGTATAACATATAATAAGTACCCTGTATCAAGATTGAGGCAAAACAAGTGAAAATTGACCTTTTTAGAGATATTTAGGGAAAAAAAGTCCAGGCGGACTAAGCTTTGGGCACATTTGGGCACATCTGGTTCCATCAGTGCCATTTGACCTTTTTCAGGTACCAGAATGTAAAAATCATTTTATAACATTGAATCATCACTATAGTTATTCATTCCATTAAAAAAAAGATAAAGAAAAAAAAAGAAATTATTGTAATATTTAAAAAATAAATACAAATATTTAACCTGCTAATTATTGTCATGGATTTGAAAACTGATGTTGTTTATTTGCTATGTTCTGGCTGCTAGCTCAGTGAATTCTTGCCTGCAGTGATGGGGTGTATACCCATGGAATCTGTGGAATCTCAGCTTTCAGATGATGTGTTGTTTGTGCAGAAAGTATGAATTATAAATGATCATTTTTGTGAGTTATGAGCAGAAATAGCATTAGTCCGTCTTTGCTAAGGGCTCATTGAAAGGCTTCTTGTGGGAATTATTTTTTTTTATTTTTTATTTTTTTCGTATCGTCAGTTAGCTGAGTTTCTTCCCGTCAGCTGGGTGTGGAACATTAATAGTTTCATAAATGACACTTCAGAGATCACACTGGTGCTAGCAGATGTAGCATTTTCGGACCCTTCGGCGGGTCCGTGGGGTTTAACAGAATCAGTCAACATTTATCTCTGCAGTTCTTACTTTAGTACCTACAATAGAAAGTATGAATAAAAGAACATTTACAACTTAATGGATGTAAGTTAATTATGTGAAGAATCAGGTTGAATAACTAATGAAACATGAGATCTCCAGCAGTAACAGAGAGTCAGTGAACTGACCCGAGAGTCTGCAGTCTGCAGTCTGGACTCTCCAGAAGATCTCTCAGCAGCTCCACATGTGAATCCTGCAGAGTGTTGATACTCAGGTCCAGATCTCTCAGATGGATGTTGGACTTCAGAGCTGAGATCAGAGCAGAACAGCTGATCTCTGACAAACTGCAGTACCTCAGTCTGAATAAAGAAAACATGATGAGGATACAAATCAGTTTATAATCAGATGTGTTACTCAACATT